CGGGCTGCGGCCTCGCCATGGCCGCCAGCTTCAGGCGGTACTCCTCCGCCTCCTGCTCCTTCTTGAGGAGCTGGCTGCGATATTCCTGAGCCTGCCGGTTCGCCTCCTGCAGCTGCTGTTGGAGCACCTCCCTGTCGTCACCGTCCTACGGAAAAGAAAAAGTGGAGAGAGCCCACGATGGAGCCCGACGCGGAGGAAACGGGGCGTGCCAGCACCCCAAGTTACAAAAGCAAAACGCTCTACGGCAGCGCCGAAAACACGCTTGGGTTGAGCTCTGCTCAAATGGCTTGTTCCAAACAGGTTACCAGAGGCAACTGGGATGTGGGAAGGGACAAACTGGGTGGCAGGGGACACCCCAGTGTGGGGGAGCTGGGAAGTTATGAGTCATCTCACCGTGAATTTCAAAGGTTGGAAGCAGGTGGAATCAAGACACAAGAAAAATGAAGAATTAGTGCGGAGAAGCTGAGAGGCAACTGAGAAAAAGCATTCTTCCTCCCAACAGCGAGGGGAGAGTCAGTGAGAGGCAACCAAGAAAAACGTTCTTCCTCCCAACAGCGAGGGGAGAGTCACTCCGGCTGCTTTGGGAAGAGCTGAGGCTTACACCCAGCTTGCACTTCTACAGGAAATCCTAAATAATTCCATAAAAACCCACGATTCAGCTAAAAACCCCAAGCCACCGCTTCGGCACAGGCCAAACCAGCGATTTAGCCACCGGTTCTCCTCCTGCCTCCGCTCGGCAGAGCACCGCTCCTCTCCCCGGCTCGCGTGTTCGGGAAGAGTCGGGAACGCCCACGGAGTTCGTTACATCCCTGGGCTCAGCTCGTTCCGGTTCTGGGATGGCTTTGGGAGCCCGACATCGCCGGCACGGCACAGAAACACACAGGAGCCGGCGGTGCTCGGAGTTCCAAGCAGGAGAACCTACCTTGTCTTTCTTTGAGTCGTCTGCGTTTTGTTCCACTTTTTGCTTCTTGGCCAGCGGCGTTTCTTCCTCTCCTGCGTCACCTCCGCCTTGGATAAGGGTCTCTTCTGCAACCTGACCAGCAGGTACCGTGAAAACTGAAAAACGAAAAGGTGACAAATTATACAGGGTGAGACATGCGCGCGCACAGATGTTTCCTCCAAGACTTCTCCAAAGTCAGCGTGGTTCTGGAGAAAAAGAGGAGACCTGCGGATCGGCGGTGCCGAAGTCTGCCCGGAGAGGAGGGAAACTCCAGCCTGGGGTTTTTGGTTTTCTTTATTCAGGGCTCTGAAATACCCGATACGGCACCACAACGGGGCGGACGGACCCTGAAGTCAGAGATTTGTGTCTCAGAAAACACGTGAGCCCAGACAGGCTGAGTGAGAGGAACGGAAAGCTCTTCCCAAAAATTCCCAGCAGCTAAGCTCTGAATCAGCTTTGAGCTCGTGCAAGAGCTGCAAATACTCCAGAGAACAAACATTTTAAATCTCCGAACGTGGGTTTGCGCTTTGGGAAGCCAGGAGCAAGAACTCGTCCAAGTCAGGAGGAGGAAGGCACCACGTGAGCTGCCGAAGGTCGCGCGGCCTCAACAGCTCTCCCTTTGTCTTCCTTAGACTGAGAACGGGTTCTGAGCCAGGAATTATTTGTAGTCATTTGGCAAATAATTCTGAATAATTAACAGCTTTAGGAAATTGCTTTTCACTCGCGGAGGCTGTAAACAGACAGAACCGATGGAACCCGTCTCACTTGGTGACACCGTGCGTGTTACGAGAGAGCTCCTCCGCTTCGTAATCCTTGTTTTCCGCCCCACCGTTAATCCAAACCATCCAGTATCTCTAGGACACGCTGCAAGAATTGTCGGTAGCAGCCACGGCTGATGAATTCCATCCCTTGAGGAAACAAAAACTCACCGTGCGAGCGCTCGGGAGCTCTGCCCTGCTCTACCGAACACCATCTCCATTCACCGAGAGATTCTATTGCCCCAGGCACAGCAGCTGGAGTTACGGGAGGAAAAGGTGCGTTTAAACCGATAGGAATGGGCTAACTCTACGTTTTGTAAGAAGGACGGAGTGATTGCTCAAGGTTCCAGCCTCATCGGCGAGTAATTTACTCCCAGGCTGGGAAGTTCGCCACGAGAGAACGGGATCGTCTCCACGCGGCTGCTGCAGAGCCAGCGGCTGCCGCGGCGTTCCTCTCCTGCACCGTGCTGCTGAGGGCGTTTGGTTTTAACGCAAAGACCAAAATACTAAAGCTCAGCAGCGGGAAGGAATATTAAGCGACCAACAAGTCGCTAGCAAGCGTTCCCGCTGATGTCAGTCACATTTTAACCCCTCCAGGCTCGGATCCGTCACACCACAGCACCGACGAGCCCGCTCACGCCAGCCGCCGGCTCTGCGGGGCTCAACGGTGTTCACAGGCAGCCGTGATTTTTTTTGGTGTTGGTGTTAATCCTGAGCGTGGCTCTTCCTTACCTTGCTGCCCGTCCTGCACGGTGAGGAGGAAGGGCTGGCCGAGGCCGCTGGCGGGGAGGGCGGTTTGCAGGCCGCCCAGGGGAGCTCCGTCCGTCACAATGGCGATGACGCGCTGCCCGCCGCTGCCAACCACTTGCTGTATGGCAGAATCGACCGGGCTCGCTTCCGCTATTTCCTCCGTCTTACCTTGGGAAATAAAGTGCCAAAAAAAAAAGTCAGTATTTCCTTCTCTCTTCCTTGAATAGAAACTGAAGTCGAGTGGAAAAGCTCGAGTACGCAGCTTGAGACTCCTGGGATGGCTGCTTATGAAAAAAAAATTGGGAAATACCGTGAGTCTTAGCAAGGGAAAGAAAATAAAACCACTACAGCTCAGCAAAACAAGACTTCTAGAGTAAAACCAGCGGGTTTTGTGTAAATTAACAAGGCTGGAGCTGGAGACAGCTCTGCAAAGCTTCCCTCCATGACCCTTCAGCTCTACCGCAGACTAAACCACACGCAAAAAACTCTCCGTGCCTCGAGAGCCCCGTCTGCACGAGCACAGCCACAGTGACCGCGATGCGGCCGTTTCGTTCGGCTGGCCAGCCAAAGACTGGTTCAACTCCCTGCGAGGCTTTTTTGTGTGACTTAACGGCTCGCCCAGACCATGGGGATCTCAAATCCTTGGCTGCATCCTGCTCCCAGCGCAGGGTCTGACCTGCAACGTGAGTGCTGGGTGCCAGAGAGGAAACCGCGCGAGTGCCGCAGGTCGAGGGATCGGCAGTGTGGCACCGGCAGCTTTAAGGAGTCAAATCGTTCGTGTCTAGATTCTAGGAAAAACGCTTAGCTTTGGGGAAAAGAAATGAGTTCCAAGGTGAAAGGATTACATAAATGTTATCAAATTCTGAAATCTGAAGTTAATTAAAGGTCAAGCAGCACAAACATACGGTAAAAGATCATAAAAACCACAACCCCAGGCATCAAATCCGCCCAAACCTTTCCGTAAGAAGAAGTCACCAGAGCCTTGAGAGACTCAAAACATTTTTTGACTCCCAACATTTTACAGCAAGCTGGGGAGAGAAAACATTTCAGGCGATTTCCTTCTTAAACAAATATTTATCTGCGTTTAGATAGTAAAGTAAACCCCTCTTCTGGACTGTTGAGGGCTTTTGACTGTTTTTTTTTTTTTAATATAACTGTTAAAGCACGTCAAGAGCAGCGTGCTGGGATGCCAGGGTCAGA